ATGCTTATACATCTATCTAAACTTTGTTATATGCATACCATTTGAATCCTTAACACTTAACATCACAACAAAAAATATTAATAAAATTAATTTTTACGAAGTAAAATATATATTTAATAACATTTATAAATATAAATATTAAAATTAATATGGCAGATATGTAAATACATATGAATTGTGAGGTACATATGCAAATTTCCTTTCCCTATTTTTTAAAATAATTGCGCAGATAGGGAAACGACCTAGTAAACTTCTCCAGCAAGCGGGAGAAACATCGCGAGGCTTCCAGAAGAAAGTCGTAGCATCCCGGTAAAACACCCCGGAATTATCTCGAACCATCCCTCTCTCTGTATATAACATTGAACGAAAACTCGCATTAGCATTCCAACATCTACTTCAAATCTTCCATAGGAGAGCAGAAAACTGATAAACAATGGCGAGCCCGTTTTACCGTAATCATTGGAATCCAATCCGCCATGGTTACTACCCACAAGTCGAAATCCAGGCCCAAGCAACAAAGCCCAAGATCGTCAATATACCCGTCCACTTCGTCGGCTCTGATGGCGCCGCCAGCAAGCAGTCGCCGGCACCGGCAACTGTGCCGACGGAAGAGACGAGAATAGCTGCGGCCATCACGATCCAGCGGGCTGTGCGAGGGTTGTTTGTGAGGAAGAATGCGCGTGTAGTCCGCCAAGTTGCAGCGGAAGTGGAGGAGATTGAGAGGAAGGTGAGAGAGGGGGAAACTAAGATTCGATTAGATTCGAGGGAGCGGCTTTTGGTGAGCGAGACGCTGATGGCGTTGCTTCTCCGCCTCGATGCTGTCCGTGGGGTGAGGGATTTTCGGAAAAGGGTTATCCGACGGGTTGTTAATTTACAGGAGGTGATCGATTCCATTTCCGCCGCTGCTGAAGGGCCACTCTCCGTAATCGGCATGTCAGAAGATCAGAAAGGTTTAGAAGGAGAAGGATGTGAGCATTTGTCAGGAGATCATGAAAATAGAGAGGATCAAACCTGTAATCAAGATGAGGAGATGAAGGACAACGAGCCCGAGTTGGAGGTGAGGATTCCGTTAGCGGTTGAATCTTCGAATATAAACAGTCATCCGGTCGAAACTGTGGATGGCACCATCTCAGAAAGCGATCCAGCAGATGATCTGGATGTTTCTGGGATTGAAGTAACTGAAGAAGCATTGATGGATCATGAAAATGCAGCAAATCAAACAATTGTTCTTCAAGAGGAGAATAAAAAGGTCGAGACGGAATTAGAGATCGAAATCCCGGCGGAAGTTGAATCACCCGTAAGACAAAGTGATTTGATTTCAGGATCCAATGGCATGGCTAAGCTGTGCAGCATAGCAGTGGGCAATGAGGGTGCTATCGACGTAGCTGAGGAGTCATCAATGGATCATGAAAAGAAATCAACTCAAACCCTCAATCTGGAAGAGGATACGAACGAAGCTGAGGCCGTATCAGAAGTGGAGATTCAGGC